CGTTAGCCTCCTCCAAGATGTGTCGCAGTGACTCCAGGGCGTCCTAGGTGGAGAATCCAGCCCTGAACCCGTACTGTCGCTGCGACACATCAAGACTTGTCCCCCTCAAGTGTTCGTTGATCCTGGATGCGATAATTCGCTCCAGGATCTCGAGAGGGAGTCTGCAGGTCGGCCTGGCTTGGGTATCAGGCCGAGCCTTCCCTCCTCCCAGCACCTCGGGAACAACCCCGTCCTCAAGCAGTGGTCCATGATTTGCTTGAGGCGGGTCCCGACACGCTTCAGGGCGATGCGGAGTGACTTGTCTAATTAATAAATTAATTAATTGTGTAGATAGATATTTTTCAGAAAAAAGTAAATACGTAGCGAAAAATAACCTAACAAACTATATGTCCTTTGCAAAGAACAAATGTAGGTAGTTGATGTTAAGTTAGCATGCGCATACACATGTTCTTTACAGAGTACATATACTAAATCTTTCAAATATTATATATATATTTTTCAAATTATATATTTTTTCTTAAGTTATGATATATTATGATTTGACAGCTTAGATAATGAAATACTAGAAACGTTCAATGACTCCAAGATTGTTTTATGGGGACGTTTCCGATGACGATCTTGAATATAGGCCACCGGATCGCAATCAAACTAACATTCTTGAGTCAGATAGCAATTGAAACGACGAAACACATATCGCATTGTGCATATAATAGTGTATAAACTCAAAAAAGGTATTCTTTCAGAGTATGAAAAACGAATTATTCTCTTCCTTTGAAAGATTTAGAAAATAACGTGTATATTATAATTATTAATACAAAGATCGAACACTCAGAAAAAATTCCTTCGATCCGGCAGGATTCCAACCGACGTCTTCTAGCTTACCGTGCCAGACGTTATGTCAACTAAGCCACGGAACGAACCAGCGGACCTCATGAATTTTTCTATGTTCTTGCGTCATGTCTTTGTATTCGGTTTTTCAACGACTTTTTAGTCGTAGCGCCATCTATGAGAAATCTTTGAAAGATTTATCACCCAGTTAGTACCTTTACAGCTACCAGTCCTGGCGAGAGATGTCGCTATTTGTATTTACAAATTTACAAACTAGTGGAGTAATTTCACAAAAAAAATACTCCAGCTACGCTAGTCCTCCGGCGGCGGCGCGGGCGAGTGACGCAAGTATTCAGTTTGGGTATTCGTAGGAGATAAGGAAAGAAAATATGTGCAGCGCAGTTGCGCAACCAAACAGGTTGCTGCCTGTTCGAAAGTCACCCGCTCCTGCGCCTCGCCTCGACCCCCGTCCGCGTGGACACGACACTTCTCAAAATTACCTATACATTTCATATATTATCAAATTTGTATAAAAATATTAGAATTTAAGTTTATTTTATTGATATACTGTTATTTACATATCATAAGTATTTCTCATTTGTATGTACACAACCTATTAAGTCGGTTTCCTTATCTGTTTATATATTTATTGTTGAGTTCTGTATTGCTGCCAGTGGGTCACTCGCCCCGGGCTTCGCTTCTTCCCGGACTTCGTCGCGATCGAGAGGACATCTGAGATCCATGACGCGGTCACGTAGACGTGTTTGTAGTCAAGCTAGAGGTTCAAACCCCCGTCCGGCACGTTCACTCCGATCACAAGTCCTCAGTTGCCAGAATGCTAATGATAAGCAAGATAATTGGTCACAAGTTTGAGCCAGATTTTCGCGTTTGCTACCCGCCTATTTACCGATAGATACTACGGAATGGGCATGGTATAGACTCTACCAGCAGTAGGTATATCGATGACGATATTTTTTTTGTTGACTGTACAAATAGAATACAAATTTTGAAAACTGGAAGATCTCTTGGATTGACTATAAGGGAATTAAACGCATAACAGCTTAAAACAGTCACGCTGCAAAAAATTCAAAAAACAAAATCTGAGATGTATTTTGTGCCAAACAGAAACCGTTTCACCGAATTTCACGAGGCTGAAAGTTAGAATAAATATGTTTCTGTTAATCTCTTACATTCATTCCTATTTTACAATTAAAAAAAAATTGTAAATTAGATTTTAATAGTGATAACGTCTAAATGATAGAAGTAATATCTTGTTTTTTCAGAAGAAACATTTGTTTTTATTAGTTTTTTAAGTTTATATTTAATAGGTACATTTTGTGTTTTTTTTTTATTTTCAATAAATAATATTTTATTCAAGTATTCTTTTAACTAGTCCACTTACAACCGTTCAAAATTTTAAAAGGACGTCGTAATATAGTGCCGTCGTCCTACATAAAGGACATAGTGAAAATCCAGATTTCCCGAAAAAATATTTTTTTCAATATTTTTCCCATACTTTCTAAAATATTAACAAAAGTTTCATAAAAGTATTCTAAAAAAAAGGTCTCTGAGTGGGCAGGAGGTTAACAATGTACTGACATAAATAATAAAATAAAATAAATCAAATACAAATGAAAAGAAATTAATAAAGACAAATAAAAATAAAAATATCGAAAATTAGACTCAATTAAACAATAATGTATCATGCATTGTGCTTATCTTACATGTAAGTTCGTTCAGTGGGTTTGAATGGGACAGTACAAACTATTTCCCACAATGGCCTGGATGCTGTTGGAGCCCCCGCGCACAAGTCACAGGGAAGGTACTCTTTTTCTGATAACGGTATGAAAGCAGCGCACTGACGCCTGTTCATACCTGATATGTTATAGTGCCGCGGCAGTCCCATCAACATCCCAAATGCATTATTATACTCTGAACCCTCAAAGCGTTTAGGGTCACCTTAGTCTACTTCACCCAAAGGCTACACGTGTAGTTTAAGCTCAGGCCACGGTCATGGTCCGGCGTCAGACCTGCGAGCCACGTTTCATTTGATTTTGATTTCACAGCAAGAAAAAATTTTGCTTTTAACAGCGTTACGGAAGCAACGCAAAAGAAATTTCTGTCGAATTCATATTGAAACTTAATAAGAACACACTCAGGAGTTGTAAAAACTACAACTTGCAACCCCGGTAAAACCCCGCTTCCGGACCGCGCCCCGCTGCTGCCGCTCTGTGTGGACGGTTCATTGACTTACAAATAAATGGACGACGGGTCTAATACAAAAACCACGAAAAAAATGTCCCAAGTCAACCTATTTAAACGTAGTGACATGTAAAGGAATATGAAAAAGCTATAAAAAAGGAATATGAATTTAAATTGTAATGTCATCGCAGTACTGTCTAATTGTGCTTGCTTCGCTGTCAGTCGAACAAACGAAGACTAAAGCGTGAATGACGCTCTGTATACGATTTTAACGCCCTATAAGTTCGGACACTTTTTAGCGCGGACCCGACGTCCATATAATTGTAAGTCAATGGGACGGTATAGAACTCAATAAAAATCAAAAACTGAATTAGCTTTACACCCACCCTGTTGTCATAGCGTTAAGTTCCGGGGGTAGTCTATCGTTCTCCGTCCAACATCCGTCCGAAACAATTGCCGTCAAATAAGTAATACTCCACTAAATTAAAAGATGCATGATGCGAATGAAGCTTCATATTTATCATTGTCTTTGGATTTGGTCGTGTATTACTTATTTCACAGTAAGTATGAGACCAGACGAGCGTAATTTTGTGAGTTGTGAATCGCCTACGTTAACCCCTAATTGATTCGGACGAAGAACGAGAATAGACCCCCCGGACCTCGCCGCCCCGCAGTGTGACAGGTTCTGTTAGAACACCAGTACACAGCGACCGTGTAAAATGTTTGTACCTATATCAAATGTTGTTTCTTCTTGTGACCGCTAGGGGCGCTGCACACTGACGCCCGGCCCGTCCAAACAAGATAATGCTCCAAACTGAAATTTCAAAATGTGAATATTTAAAATATATATTAGCGTTAAAAATATATATCAGTTCAAAGTTAGCTCTTTACGCTAAATAACAATTATTCCGCAACGTACGTGGATTTATTTCTTGCGTTTGATATTGTGAATTATGGCGGTGACCACGCAAGGTATGTTGACTCTCATAACATTATTATTACCTATTTCATAAGTCTAACGGTATGTATTTTTTAAAATACCCACACTTTGAAAATTGTGTTTTGAGCATTACCTTGTATAGACGGGCTCCAGTGTGCGCTGTATAATTTGCCTTACAAAATTGTGAAGTAGTTTACGCGGTTACTAGCGACAAATGTCACAGTAAACTCGTGGCAGAGGCACTTTTGATAGCATCGTTGAAGTTAAGTAGTCGTTCGATCGAGGTCTTGAGCATTACATCACACGACGGAGTGGCAGAGGCGACGAGGCGATGCTCTACAAAACCGAAATGAGCCGATCGTCTGTTTCTAAAGCTCGATGGTAATAATACATACAGCCTGGTATTATAAGTATGTTTAATTGTGGTAATATTTTTTATTACAATCAATTTAGATCCCAATGGCATAAAATAATATGTCTTTTGGTACCGCTATGGAACAATCTGTCAATGATGTCCAATAAACCGACAATGTGCAACTTGGACAACATTTCAAGCAAACGGATCAAATACTAAACGTCTTCGAATACTTTTTATTTGAATATGTAACCAAGTGAAGAATTCAACTAATATTTGCATATGAATTATGTTTTTGAGAAGCAACAAAGAGATTTATTTGTTTGATCAGTTACAAACCTATTGTTTATAACAAGGCAGATATAATTTAAACTATCATTTAGTTACTAGAGGTGAAGCAAGTTGCCAACACGGAGCATATTTTTGCATAATTCACAAAACTGATAAATATAAAATCCTTTTTTATTCAAATGTAGTTCTTAAAATTTGTGAATAGAAGTATTTTTTTTAAAGAATAAACGGTGCAGGAAATATATATACGTGAAAAATAATTCGATATTGTTTTATCACTGATCTGTGGTTGAATAAATGAAGGAACAATAAGCTAAATTTGACTATAAAAAGACCAACACAGTTAATTAAAAAGATAAAAGACACTGAAGACAAAATAACAACATGAAAACAACTAATCATGAGCCTGATATAATAGAGAAACATATAACAATACTAATGAAACAAAGTGAAAACAAACCCAAATATTATAACTACGATGAAGCTATCGATTTGGCAGGTAAAGTACAGTTGGACCGCTATTTGTTATATTATATAATTATAGAATTATTTATTACAGACCATGATCCATAGTAATATTAGTAATACAGTAAATTTTTCTTACGTGCTACTGTTAGTACAATACAAAATTACTTAATGCTAAAGAAATGCCACGTCTAGACCACTATCCTCCGCACGTGTACTAGCACCCAATGTTGTTGGTAGGGGCAGTTCAGCCTGTTGGCAACAACTGCTAGGATGCTATTAGCGCTGCAGCGCACACGCATCATGAGTGAGGCAGCCCTCTTGCGAATAATGGCATTACAGCCATCTGTAAGCGCCTCTGTGAATCATGCATTAGCATCCTGAACGCGTTGTTATATTGCACTCATAATGTATTCACGGTTCGCTACGTATACTACACCCACAGGATGCTCGTGTAAAAGGTTTGGGAATATGCTTTAATTAATGAGATTTTTACATCTTTGGTGCAACGAGCAAACCTGCGGGCGAGCATATTACATTTAACAGACAGGGCCCTTCTCTCCTCCTCCATGTCGGTACCATCATACATTGAGAGACACGACTTATCTCACTACCATGGAGAAACACCGGCGGCACTGTCCCAACAGAATCTGCCTTCGGCTTAAAAACTAGTAGCTCGGTCTTCTTCGCATTATACCTAAGTCCATGGGCTTCCGCATGTCTCACATATCCTGAGCAACTTACCAAGTGCACTAATCGCAGGAGTCAACAACACCATATCATCAGCGTAACTGATATTATTAATGAAAGTGCCATCAACAAAGCAATCCACTTTGCCGCTGCTGGGTTCCAATCTGCGAGTGCTGAGATCAATGCATTAATATTAAGACGATCGAATTTGTTTCCCTGGTGGATCCTACCAGACATTGCACCCGTAAATATTTGTCATTAATTCCTTGGAGAGTACTCGAAACCAGCTGCAGGAGATTAGTAAGTGGCACAAAACTTCTCTGTGTAGAAAAATCTATGATGAACAAGGATATTTACGGTGATGATTTTGATGTATGTACAAGTAAAATGAAAAAAGTTATGCAGGATAATACGTCATTTTCAGGCAACGGCTGGTACAACATTGGACTCCTGATAACCCTGAGCATTACATTGTTGGCGATGTGTCTGGACCTGTTCAGCTTTTCCTTTGTGGTAGCTTTCTCCAGCTGTGATTTCCAGCTCAGTCTGGTACAGAAAAGTATCCTCGTTTCTGTACCTTTCACAGGTAAATCTTGTTTTGGTGCATTATGATCACGTTTACAGTAGATAGATACTTAGGTTTCATAAAATGATTAATAATTTGTAGCTTTTTGCGTTTAAAACCCAAATTTATTGTAAATTGCAGCTAAATTATTTTCAACCGTCTCCATGTTCTCATTCCTTAAACAGGCAAACATCTTTCCTAAAGACCATTCCTATAAAATTTCAAAAACCAAAATTTTAAAATGTATTAATACGCATTACGCACAGGGCCAGTGTTAACAGCGTACGCATGGGGCTATTTCTCTGATACAAGAGGTCGCAAGAAGAGTATGGCAATTGGTATGTTGGTCAGCTTTGTGATGTCAACCTTATGCGCCTTCTCTCCCAACTGGATAGTGATGGGTGTATTAAAACTTATTGGAACTTGTTTGTAAGTTGAAAGTTTAATATGTTTAAGTTAGGTTGTACTGTTTTACGTCAAGTACTATAACAGAACATGGGTATATTTATCAACGATTTGTTTGGTGAGTTTTCTAGTGATTCTTTGAAATGGAAGGCTATGCAATTCTTCTTTTAATTCTTTTTCTTCATTCTAGAGAACAAGATGGTGAGAGTGTAAATTAGTTGACCTTTAATGTATCCCTATATATAAGTAGCATCTGTTTATTACAGTTGCAGCAGTGCCCAGTCAGCATCGTATGCATTGTTGGGAGAATCGTGCGCAGGTCGAGTCAAGGCACCTTACTTGCTCATTATGACTAGCACAGTCCATCTGGGTTTACCTACTTACACGAGTAAGTAATAAATTATTATGTAATTTTTCCCTTCCTCAGACGATGTGTGTGCCGGAAGATAGAAATATAAAAATTTTACTATCTTGCATTACACACATTTCTATTCATCCGAAGAACAGAGTCCGATGTGATTATATAGCGAAAAGAGCATTTATAAATACATAATTTTGGTATTCTAATTGAGGCCTATGTAAAGGTATTTTGAGAATTTATATATCTTATTTCGTTTCGGAAATGTAAAATCGAACAACTGTCGATCTGCCATCCACAGCAAAGAAGAAAGAACGAAATGTACTATGTCCTGAAAACAAGTAGTGTTGCACATAGACCTTTGTTCTGCGGATGAGTCGATATTATAATACAACAAATTAATTGAAAGGAAACACAGAGAAATTAAAATGAAAGGTGGAACTAATAATATAGTTCTTTTTTGTCCTTTTTGGACTGTAAAGAAGAAACGCAATGTAGAATGAATAAATGCATTAAAAAATAATTGTAAAGTACAAATAATAATTGCATTGTGAGCGCCGTGTGCAACACTTCCTTTTCCTCTTATTGTTTCTACGGCAAATTGAAACATTAGTCCAAAGCTCAGTTACTTTAACCTTATTATTATCGGCGTTCTTAAGTTCCGCCTATGGACAAACGTCAGGATATAAGGTAAGTTCGATGAGCCATAATTTACGGGGTAAAATCATAATGACTTTGAAGATGGGAACCGTTTACGTGTCTCCACTTGAACACTTTATCTTTGCTTCGGCCGACTTAAGTCCGCCTAAGCACCTCCAAGCAGATCAATTTATTTATATGCTCTATTACTATATTACTTACTTACTTCCCTGGCTCAGCGACTCGAAGTGGATCTTGGCCTCCGACACCAAAGCAGAGAACGGACACTTTCCGCCCCTCCCTACCTTTAGATACCGCAACACGCCCCGCACATTGCCGGTCATATTGACTGAACGACAACAAGGCTGCCGGCGAGCCGTTGTCGTGCGAAGACGGTTTCATTTATTCATTACGAATACCTTGTACGTTAATATAAAACATCATTTTACGTTACTATTTATAATGGTCGTGAATTGTGCTATGTACGGCTGTTTATCATAATTTTCCGAAAGATGAAACGAAGTAAGTAAAAAAACTTATGTCTGAGACTCGTTGAGTTATTGTTTTCTTCATTTATTTACTGCAAAGTAATATATGTATGTATAAAAAATACAGATTTATTATATCAATATAATGAGGCGCCATGACTTCGTGAGCTAGTAGCCAAGGGTTCTCGAATTTTCAATTCATTTTGCCGATAAATATTACGTAAGTAGCGAATGTACCTAATTAATGATGATCAACGTGGACACGCAATTTCAAACCTTGGTTACCTTATTTAAAGGTATGTACATGTCCAAAATATAACATTTTAAGTGCTTTTAATATATTTTTTTAATAAATCTTCAATATTACTCTAGTTAGTTAATTAATGAAAAATACGATATTATATCGATATAAATAGACATGTGTAATTATTAGGATTCTGGATTATGTTAATAGAAACATAGATGATAGATCCGCGTTAGCATTTTTAGATTTTTTTTCATAGCATTAGCTATGTTGCCGCTTTGATCACGTAGCGTAATAGTGCAAGAAAATGATAGGTAGCCAATTCACGCACACATTTGCGCGTGTGCAGATAGCGCCTTGCTGTATGTAGTAGTAGCAGGTAAATAATTTTCGACAGTTATATGGAGTGTCCGGGGTGTGACCAAAGTACGTCATTACTGTCAGTCGTGTGCCAGTTTCGACTATTCAGACACATTCCTTTAGTTCTTAGGTTTCCGCGATCGTTTCACATTGGTAATGAAACTATTTTTCCGGATTTAAATCGCTTATATTTGTTTTTTCAAACAAACCGATGGTCACGGTTGAATGAGGTGGTACAGTCATCAACCAGTTATAACACGTTAGAAACGTCGGTTTGTTTGAAAAAACAAATTTATGCGATTTAAATCCCGAAAAATAATTTCTTTTCCTACATTCCTTTAGGTCTTTGGCGACTTCATCCTTCCATTCCATTACTAATGTTAGTATCTTTATTTTTCTAGCTTTAGCTTACTTCGTAGGCAAGCTTGACTTCTTCTACGACCTGGGCTACATATCCTTCGTACCTTGGAGACTTCTAGTACTAATAATGGCATTACCTTTGGGCTTGGCAGCAGTCTTATTGCTTTTCTTCTTCGAGAGCCCTAAATTTGTGCTGAATGCAGGAAAAGAAGGGCAAGCTTTAAACATTTTAAGAAAAATCTACAAGAGGAACGGTGGTTTGGAGAAATATCCGGTAAAAATTTATTGAAGATAGGAAATGAAACTATTTTTCCGGATTTAAATCGCGTATATTTGTTTTTTCAAACAAACCAACGTTTCGGGCCCTTTACAGGTCCCATGGTCACGGTTGACTAAGGTGAGGTGAGATCCTAATTTCAACAGGGAAAATGGTTTCTCCGTACCACCAGTTTGGGATCCAGTGTTTCCGCCGATGTAAAATCCTAAACAGTCATAAGACTGCGGGTACTAATTAATATGTTTATTAATTAGTACTAAGTTCAATTTATTATTTCTAATTTCTGTTATTAATTAATAATAAATTGGACTTAATACAAATTCATTCAATAACATAATTTGTAAAACGCAATGTGGCTTTAGTTGGAATGTTTCTTTATACATGTGATAATAAGGTATTTAATTAATAACTTTTGTAACTATAGTGGAAAATAAGGTGGTTTGCATTAACATTAGATATAACTGGTTGACGACTGTACCGTCAACCGTGACCATGGGACCCGTAAAGGGCCAGAAACGTTAATTTGTTTGAAAAAACAAATATACGCGATTTAAATCCGGAAAAATAGTTTCATGTCCTATGTGTAACAATCGCAAAAAGCTAAGAACTCGATATTTATTGAAGATCTTTTTCGTCTTTATCGTTGGCACTAATGCCTTGGCTTAATAAATAATTATGTATGCTGTAATGCTAAAAATTCGAATCTCACTTTTCATCATTTTCGCCATTTGATTAAAGGTGTTATTCCGACCAAAGCGACTGACTGGGGGCTTTTCGTGGTTTGACAGTGTAATGGAATCTGCTATATGCCATTCAAATTTTCTTTGTTCTGAATAACAATTTCATTTAAGAATATTATGTTGTTAGAAATAGTTCAACGTGTGAATTTATGTCCTTCCACTTTGTAATTGAATAGGATCACAATCCTTTCAAAAGTAAAAGGAAGAAAAACTGCCAACAAGCTTAACAAAACATTTATAAAAAAATCACCTAAAGCATCTCGTTTTTAGGTACATTACCTAACACTAAATGAAGATGGCAACATCAAACGTAATGGAAAATCTCTGCTAGTATCCTTATGGCAGCAGAGTGCACCGTTGTTCAAGCCTCCACTGTTACAGAATACATTGATTCTATATTACTTGATTGTTATTTCTTACAGTGTGTAAGTATTGTTCAGTACCCCACAAATAGTTAGATAGAGAACACTGGCCTCTTCTAAATAAAACCATAGACCAATAACCCAACACGACTGTTAATCTACATACTACAGATCGTAACTCTGAAAAAGGTCAAAATCTCGTCTTCCATATAGTTGACGCTGATCGATAGTTTGGAAGTAATTGTATAAATGACCGTGGATATCAATTAATTACTCTTGAATGTGAAACATAAGTAGTCTGTCTTTTCCTTGATGAACTGAATTTATTTTCTGAACTTCGACAAATATGCGTGGCAATAGATGGCGCTAATGCCAAACAAAATAATAATAATAATAGTAATAATGCACACACTCACAGACCCACACTAGGGAAACTTTGTATCGCGGGTACCATGGACACACACATAGACAACCACAAATCACACTCCAACTCACGAGAGAAATAAATGTAGACCATACAAATATTTCTCCTGGCCCGGGAATCGAACCAGGGACCTCTGCGTGGCATTCCAGGATGGTAACCGTTTGGCCACGGAGGCAGTAAGTAAAATAAAAGAATAGCCGGCACTATCCTTCAAAATTTGAGCGGTTAGCGCCATCTAGTTGATTTGTTTGTTATGACTAGAAATTAGAGTAGTTTTAATAAATTGCAACTTGGCAATGTCAATTTAGTTCCAAAATAGCTTCTATTTGGTGCTCGTCGAGACATTTATTGTACCGATAGGTATTAAAAACGCTGTCTTGTATCATTATATCGCGATTAGCAGTCGTCTTGAGTTATATTATTTTATGTGTTAGTGATATCTTTACTTCGGTAAATCATCATCAAACTTGAGAGTTATACTCTTGTCGGTGGAGCATCTTCCAGTCATCTCTCTTAAAAGCCAGCTCCTTCACCTCCTTATACGACACGACACCAGCCTTTTCCATTATTTAGTCTATGTAACTGCGCCTAGGTCGGCCTCTTCCCCTCGATCGTTCCCTCTAAAATGGTCTTAAAGAAATTGACGTGTTCGTGACGTGTGTTTTGAATTTCCCGCGTGTAAATATTCGGTAAATATTTGCTTAATTTATTTTCTCTTTAAATATTCAACGTTCGTTTGCTCTAACGAAAGTAATTACGTAAATGACATACACTATTTTCAAATCTTCCTTTTCAATGTTACGTATGAGTTACTAATAAAAATATTACTTATATTAATATACTAATATTAATACTTTAGTAGCAGTAGAGTACTTTGTGAAAGAGCTCGTCCAGGGAAGTACTGCCACCTAATCTACTTTGGCCGCTTAGCGGTAATGTTAACATTACTGCGTACCGGTTTTTCGAAGGGTAAAGCTGCTGGTGAAATTACTGGCACATGGGACTTGTTAATTCATACCTAAGGGTATCGGGCGCAGTGGTAGTGCCCTTCAGATCTTTGCGATTTAAAGCTCTGAGTGGCAGTGCAACTGTTATGGACAGGCATGTAGTTTACGAGCAGGCGCACGACTTGTTTGTCCCGTCACTTGATATTTACAATTTTAATATTATTTCTTTAACAGAAGCGGAAGTTTATACGTTTGGCTACCATTCATAGCCAAGGCATTCACTACTCCAGCTCTAAATCACACAGAAGGTCTTTGTGCTTTGGTGAAGCTGACATCTTCCATCAGCAGTGAGACCGTAAGTTTCGTTAGTCTTAGAATTTTCTAAAGTTATTTAGATCTGTTGTAATTCGAGTATCGGTAAATTTGCGACGACCCTACGCGCCTTAGGTTTATATCTCGTTGTGTCTCGACTCATTTAATTTGTATGGACTCATTATGTTTCTCAATGGAATAATATTTGATACTAAAATAAAATCCTGTGTTTCAGACTGCGTGCTCGTCATCGTCAAGTATAGTAGAGCTCCCAGTGGTCTTAACTTCGATAGCATCAGGCGTATTCTTCAGCACCTTCAATGTGATCATGTCTAAATTTGCTTCGAGGAGAAAAGCATCTCTTATTGTAATCTATGCATTTGCTGCTGTTTGTTGCGCTTTGACCACTTTGATTCCAAATCATATTGCTGGCCTTTTCTATTTTGGAGTATTTTCGACAAGTCTCTGCATGGGACCATTGTTTGCTTATTTTGTAGATCTCGTTCCAACGTCTTTCCGGTAAGTGTGATTCATATGTATCCGTAATAATTGTCTTTCTAATTTATACATATTTGGTTATTTAAATAAGTTATCCATTAAATTGTGCGTTTTTAATAAAGTATGTGTTTCTTGTTTGAGAATATGGGTTTGCACTCTAAAATGTACCAGTTAAGGTGTACAATGTTATTTAAATGTCAAAGATTAAAACTCGCCAAGAAACTCTTGTACACTATAGTTAAAGTTTAGTATTCAAACTTTAACTTAGAATATTTTTAAATTTAACGTACACGATATTTTCAAATTTATATTATAAAAGTCACTTAAAACACATGTTACAAAGGACATATACAAATATGAGCTTATCTCTAGAAGAGATCTCTTCCAGCCAACTCTAGCCGTGGCGTATAAAGTCAGCGGGACTTATTATTGTACAATAAATTTATTAAAATTGAAATGTGAATATAAAATATAAGCCACGATAATATTAGGGGTTAAAGTATGAAATTGCCGTTTTATTGCAATAGGTTCTTTGAATTTTCATAGAATCTTCATGGTTTGAGGTTTTCGAATGAAACTTTTTTCAAATGGTTTCTGTGATTTTTTTTTTTTTTTAATTTGAAACATTTGAATATCGACTTTCAATTGTTTTTGTTATTCAATTTAGACAAGAAAGATGGATACTGCGAAAATTCGAGTGATTTTTGAATACGAGTTCCGACGCGGAACTAACGCGGCAGAAACAGCCCGCAATATCAATGCTGCGTTTGGAGAGGGGTCTACTAATGAACGCACCGTGCGATTTTGGTTTAAACGCTTTCGTGATGGAAATTTCGACTTAAAGAACGAGTCACGAGGAAGACCGCCCACACAGGTGAATAACGATGAATTAAGAGAGATAGTGGAAGCCGATCCTAGTCAAACTACCCAGGAATTAGCGGCATGGTTTAACGTTACCTTACCCACAATATTGACTCACTTGCGTCAAATCAATAAAATAAAAAAATACGAAAAATGGGTGCCTCATGATTTGACTGATCTGCAGAAAGAAACGCGTGTTGAAACTTGTGTTGCCTTGTTGAACCGGTACAGAAATGAAGGAATATTGGATCGAATTGTAACATGTGATGAAAAGTGGATTCTTTATGATAACTGACCCCAGGTCAAATGCCACAACAGTGTCCTAAAGCAAAACTTACCAATAAAAAGGTAATGGTAACTGTTTGGTGGTCTCAGCATGGTGTTATTCACTATAGTTTTCTCCGATCTGGTCAAGCAATAACGGCAGATGTCTATTGTGCCGAACTCCGAACCATGTTGACAAAACTAGCAGTAAAACAGCCCCGACTCATGAATCGATCTTCACCATTATTGCTCCACGACAACGCGAGACCTCACACAGCACGAGAAACCATTTTGACCCTTCAGGAACTGCAGTTAGAAACCATTCGTCATCCTCCGTATTCACCAGACCTTGCTCCAACGGACTACCATTTTTTTTCGTGATTTGGACAATTATCTACGTGACAAGAAGTTTTCTTCCCAGGAGGCAGTACAAAATGCTTTCACACAGTTTGTGCAGTCTAGATCGTCGGAGTTCTATCGCAAAGGCATTAATAACCTTCCCATTAGATGGCAGCAATGTATAGATAATAATGGCAACTATTTTGATTAAATAAATTTGTTAAAAATTTAAAAAATAAACAATTTAGATTTTCAGTACAAATCGGCAATTTCATACTTTAACCCCTATTATTTATGACAAACACACAATGAATTTATGAGGAATGCTGTTGGTATCCGATATCGGTCATGATACAAACAGCATAGAATGTGATTGGACCATAACCATGCCAAAAATTCCATACCAGTGTCAAAAATGACTATGGTTCTTTTTGATTGCAAAATATGATAGATGCATGTAAATTGTCACGTAAGCTGTATGTGCATATTTAAGCACACTTTATCAGCATTTCCACCAGCTTAAAAAATATTGGGCCAAAATAACAACCCTGTGGCACTCCTACAAAAAAAACCGCAAAAATGAAAGTGTGAAAAAGGACCACAGTTGTAAGCAAAATGTCTTTGTTGAAATTTGTTGAAATCTTTGTTGAAATTGTTATTATTATATATTTTTTGTTCATCAGGGGTATGGCAGCGTGTCTCGGAGTGATGGTAGCTCGGATCAGTAGCGTGGCGGGAATCAATCTTGTTGGACCTTTTATAACTTCGCACTGCTCAGTTACTTTTTACTGTCTTAGTGCTTTTGCATTGAGTGAGTTTAAACTTTCAAGGATATTCATTGATTTGACGGTATTAATAAAGACTTCAGAAGTATTTTTATTTAAATTTTGCCAATATATAAAATTTGTTGCAGGTGGAGTCTTGGTGTCATTATTGCTGCCAGCAGATAAACGGAAATCTTCTACAAACAAATAAAGATACCGTGAAATATCTGTAAAATAAAATATTGCTGTTTTATTTACCTGTGCTGTGTTGCACGTGCTATCATCTTTGGTATAAAATAGGTTTATATACAAAAGAAAACGTATTCTTTGCAAATTCATTGTGAATCAAACAAGTTCTATTTCACTGACACGTCGAGTTCTCGATGCGTTTAATAAAGAATCCGTATAAAATTTTTGTTTAGTAGATCACGACCAGATACGACGTCGAAAATGAGTTGGAAACTGACTTTTTTTTATAGTGGTATAACTAATTCGCAAGAAAATGTGTTTTTTTTTTTAATTAAAACGAGCACTATTTGCATTGCCTATATTGTATCACTATCAAAAACTTCATTCACTGTCATAGTATAATAGTACAGAAAATAGAATCATTTAAGTATTCATATTATCAAAGTCACAATATTAAAAAATGACCTACTAAAAATGTACCTTATTCGAAATTGTTTTTATTCACTTCAGGAATATTTAAATAATCAATTAGAATTTTATTTGGGTCACAATTGTTATTGTATATTTTTTGGAGTTTTATTTAATTAATTATTCATAATAATATGCGTAGTTAAATTTAATTTTAATTTTATAATTTATTCAGTGTTTCATTTGCCTAATTTTATTGTATTTAATTAAATTTTTAATTTTAATTTAATATCGTCCAGTTTTATTTATTTTTTGCATGTAAATAAATTAAATTAAATTTTTAACGTCGCAGCGCCTTTGCAAGGTTCATATTTGGTTCGTAACAGCATTTTAATAACTACAAATGTACAACATGATACGCAATAAAGATTTGAATTTGACTACAATTTGAAATATAATGTTAGAGAATACTACGAAAATCACTAATATAAACAATAAAATATTGAAAAACAAAATAGTATAACTAAAAGAAGGAAAATTTGTAGATAAACACAAAATGTTGTGGAAATACAACGGCTTGAAATAAAAATAAAATTACAATTTCTTCGAAAGCAACTTCTCCACATTGTAAAATTTATTGTTCAATAAAAGGACTTTCTGTTGGGTATAAATCTTTGCGCCGTTTATAACACTTTTCAGATTTGTACGGTAGGTAACGGCCCGGTTTTTTGTTTTCCCGCGTTGGTTCGGTGTTTAACTTTTAACGCACATAAGCGATTATATTGTGAATACGCCGTCATCAAATTGTGTTTTTTAAGATATTGCTACTGCAGGGGTGATAGTTGGCCACGTTGAAAAATTTCTTCCCGTTTCTCAGTTTCGACTTCGATGCATTCTGGGTAAGTCCATTCGTAAAAGAGTCATTTTCTCAGTTGCTTGTATATGTTGTCCCTATCTACTGACCCTAGAGATAGGGAGTTCCGGGGAGCCTGTAGTCTCCCAGACTGCAGAAGACCAAGGTGCGGCGGGTGTCAGGAGCAAGCCCTCCGCCAGTGGCACGCCTTCACGGGCATCTCTGGTGGACCCGGTCTTGAGTATGGACTCTTTCGTCCGTCTGCCCCGGCAGTATGTGGCCCGGGCGTTCATTCTGCGCGCAGTTAGCGCGTGTTAGTAGCAGTCTAGACGAGGGCCTAAGGAGAGGAGACGCGCGGGTAGCGTGGCCATTACTTTTTTTCCCTCGGGGCGGGACTGGAAATTTATTTCCAGTTAGAGTATAGAGTTGTCCGTGAAATAATCAACGTTTATAAACTCACTGCTTATATAATTTTTTTATTAAGTAAATTTATAATTGTGTTAAAGCATGCTCGCCAATAAACTTTTTCCAGTTTGGCAAAAAATAAATGAAAAAAAAAGAAATAAATTACTGAATAAAATTCAGTAACACTATATTCACTATTCTATGCTCTGTATGTCTGTTCTTTACTTTAAATACAATTCCGGGCTTCGTAAACAATACTTCACCGCCGTGTGTGACGCGCGGCGCGACGTCAGTAATTTGCGAGCTTGAAGTCGGATAACTTCATGCGTTATATTTTCATTATCTCTTCACCAAAGTTCACATCGCACAGGTATATTGCGTTCGTGTGTGATTGAAATTAAGTCAAATAGCTTTTTTAATTAATAATAGACAGTATATTTTAGTACAGGATCGTTTTGATCAGTTTGTGTCTTGTTTTTGAGGTTATCCTCGATCATGGCGTGCGTGTGTTTTATATCCAATGTGAAAACGCTCATTATTTGTTGAAACAAAAAGAGTGTAGTATAATTCACACCTTAATTATTTGTGGAATCGGGTTGTATAGAAATTACAGTAACAACAGCAACAAAATAAGTAGAATTTTCTGTGCTCATCTAAATATTAGGCATAGAAACATTATGCAGAGTATCTTTTACTGACATGCTCTAAATAAAAAAATGTGACAATTGAAAACGGTATATCATGTTTGCTTTAAATTGCTATTAGTATAAATACCACATAATTTAATAACAATATCACAAAATAAATCATCGCAATGAAAGTGGTTTGTAAATTTTAAAATGTCAAAACAATATCAAAGCGGTAACCTCATTAGACGCTTTAGACGATGCTATCAAACAATTAAAAATAACATCAACTCGAAGCATGACGGCCTTGAAGACTTAGTAAATGGTTGTCATGTGATTGTTGAACAGCCCACGATTTGAGTTTGGCAATGATTAGTTTAAAGATCGATCGAATAAACCGAACGGTATACAAGACACATACATGTGTCATACATGTATTGAATAGAAAGCTTCACATGAAATATTATCGTAAGTAATAAAAAATAAAGACGCAAATATGATGAATGTGTCGTGAGCGTTATCGGTCTATCACATTGTAATAAATGTTTTTAAATTATTCCAATACGTAGCAATTTTCGGCCACTTATAACGTGTCTATGCTATCCTGCTATCTCCGACGACGGCACCCACTGTAACAGTAAACTGAAAATTGTGTATTGAAAATATACAAAGTCGCAATAATTTTTGTCACAAGCAAGTTGCATCCTAAAAACATACGACAATGGTGTGACTTTTTTATATCGAACAAAGTAATCTGGAGGCCGCGACATATCCATGCTAAATGTAAACAAACTATCCAATTGTAAACTTCTTGAAATGATTTTTATTGTATTATGTGACCAAAATCAGTGGAAGAAAACGAAAGTAAGAAATTAAAAAAATATATTAATAAGGATTACGTTTGTATGAATCAACAAGGGAGATTTATCATTTGATCAGTTACCAAAGAATGTTTATATGTACACAAGGCAGATGTGTTTTAAACAATCATTTAGTTACTAGCGGTGATACAAGAGGCGTGCACGAATAAAATTGTTACATAACTTGTAAAAGTGATAAATATAAAACATTTTTTTATTGTAATGTAGCTCATAAGATTTTGTTATTTGAACTATTTTCGTAAAGAATCAAACGGAGTAAGACAAATACGTGTTAAGTTATTTGATAATATTCTGTTATCTATGAGTGTTCTTATCATCGTTTACCATAAAGTGAGATCACATGAGCAAAGAAAAGTGAGCTCGAGAAAAAAATAAAAACAATTGAAAGATTAAAAAAGTACAAAATCAGAAATTAAAAAATGAAAACCATGGAAACAGCTAATCACGAACCTGTTACAATAGAGAAACAAATAACAACATTACGGAAAGACACTGAAGAGAGACCCAAATCTTACAATTATGATGAGGCTATCGATTTGGCAGGTGAGTTAAAAACATACCGGTATTATTTATACTATATAAACATTCCTACGTTTGATATGACAACTATGCGTCCAGAATTAGACAAATTAATTTTAAGACGACCGAATAACATAACGAATAAAATTAGTACCAATAATGTGCCAGATCACATCAATCACCAAAGTATTGACTCTGGAGTCATCACTCGGAACGGGACACAAAACAGAATGCAAAGATTTTCCAAAAGCCTATATTCACTTTGGAAAAAACCAGAACCCAACAATGGGAGATGTATGGGTGGACACGTAGCTCCTCTTTGTAGAAAGATGGATAACCTACCAATGACTTTGATGTAATTATTATGTACTTGTTAAAATTTATGGAATCTATGCATACGTATAATGCTTTATATGTTCAGGTAATGGTTGCTACAACATCGGGCTCCTGGTAACCTTGAGCATCACATTCTTTGCGATGTGTCTCGACCTATTCAGTTTTGCCGTGGTGGTGGCTTTAGCCAGCTGCGATTTGCAGCTCAGTCTGGTACAGAAGAGTATTCTCGTTTCTGTGCCCTTCACAGGTAAATCTAGTTTTGGTACGTTTTAGATCATATTTACAACAGATAACTTAGGTTTCGTAAAACGAATTCACAATGTTCGGGTTCTGCTATATATACTTTCATGCAATCTTCAATTTTGTAATTAACTGCCTCCTTGGTAACGATTATCATGTTGGACTGTCACGCAGAGGACCCGGGTTGATTCCCGGGCCGGGAGAGATATTTGTATGGCCTATATTCATTTCTCTCATGAGTTTGAGGGTAATTTGTGGTTGTCTATGTGTGTGTCCATGACGCTCGCGATACAGGGTTCTCCTAGTGCGGAGCTATGAGTGTGTGCGTTATTATTAATAATTTATTGTAAATCGACATAGATGGCTTAGTCTCCGTGTTCAATTACCAGTCTGAACATCTCTAGGCAAAGAAATCTTTCTGGAAGATCACCATAGTCAGTCCTTATGCATCTGTTTTAAAAATTTGATTAATGTGTACAGGGCCAGTGTTAACAGCATATGCGTGGGGCTACTTTTCCGATACAAGAGGACGCAAGAAGAGTTTGACAATCGGTATGTTTGTCAGCTTTACGATGTCAATCTTATGCACCTTTTCTCCAAACTGGATAATGATGGGTGTATTTAAACTTGTTGGAACTTGTTTGTAAGTTGAAAGTTTAATATTTTTAAGTTGGTTGTCTTCTTTTACGTCATATATGCCAACATAATAAAGATACCATTTAATTTTATTAACGATTCGATGAATGAGTTTTCTAGTGATTCTTTGGAATAACGACGTAATGCAATTTTTCTGGCGAATGGGGTAATATGTTCATACATCATTAGTGTGTTTGTTGCAGTTGCAGCTGTGCCCAGTCAGCATCGTATGCGTTGTTAGGAGAATCGTGCGCAAGTCGAGTCAAGGGACCTTACATGCTCGTTATGACTAGCACATTCCACCTGGGATTACCTACTTACATGAGTAAGTAATAAATTATCAAGTAAATTTTCAACTCACTAACACGATATGCTGTACACATTTGATAGTTATTTTTTTAATATGGTCGAAAAAATAGCAATAAAGAAGTGAAATAAACAGCAATTAGATGCAATAAACAATTGTTACGCATTAGTACCAATAAATAATTACATTGTGAAATTTATGTGCAATAAATCAATTTTTCCTCTACGTCCATTGTTTCAACGACAAGACAAAATATATGAGCCCAAAATTCGGCCCCCTAATGGCCCTGTTTGCCGCCTCCCGCATTCTGGTGTCAGGATGTACAGTGCAAGTTAGATGGTTGCGGGATAATATTACATTGACAGCCGAGGTTCAAATGATTTAGTCGGTCGAAGCAAAGATTATCTTAGAAGGTGGATCTATGTGCGGGGCCTATTTAAGGGACCTCCAAGTCAAACAACTAATGTATATGTTCAGTTATTAACGTTAGTACTGTAACTTTTCCAGGTATAGCCTACGCCGTATTCAAACTCGACTTCCTGTACGGCCTGGGCTACATATCTTTCGTGCCTTGGAGACTACTAGCTTTGATACTGGCGTTACCTTTGGGTTTGGCGTCAGTCTTATTGCATTTCTTCTTTGAGAGCCCTAAATTTGTACTGAATACTGGAAAAGAAGAACAAGCTTTGGAGATTTTGAGAAAAATTCACAAGAGGAATGGTCGTTCCGAGGAATATCCAGTAAGATGTAGTTACATATTCTTTATCTTTGGCTTTTTATGAACCCTGGCCTAATAATCAGGTAGATAAGGAGTTGCATTTGGTTGAAGGAGTTATTCCGACCAAACAACGTTGCATATCATTACGATTGATCGGTAGCAACTCTTATCTCGTACGAGCAGTACCAGATGATAATTTATAAAAAATATACCGTTTTAGGTTCAATATCTAGTACTAAACGAAGACGGTAACGTTAAACGTAGAGAAGGGCCTTTTCTAACATCTTTATGGCAGCAGACTGCACCATTGTTCAAACCTCCACTTCTACGGAATACAATGATTCTATATTGCTTAGTTTTCATTGCTTTTAGCATGTAAGTACTACTACAGTATTCTACTGCAGCACGCTGATCCTTTCTATGGAAAGTGATTTATTACAGTGTTTTTAATAATACAATAAGATTAAGTGTCAACTGTAATGAACTTTGTCTTCTGTCTTTTTAATTCTTTTTATATATTTAATTTGTTTTAGGCATTTCACTTGTTTGCTTAGTTATTTCAATATCATCTAAGAATTTCCAATCAAAATATCAATGATTTATTGTTATATCTTTAACAGAAGCGGAAGTTTAAACGTTTGGTTACCATTCATTGCAAACGCATTCAATGAACCAGCATTAAATCATACAAATGGTCTTTGTGCATTGGTAGAGCTGACATCTTCTATCAGCAGCGAGCCTGTAAGTTTCTTGGTTTCGTTAATCATATTATATACTGTTTCATCATCAACCCACTACTTGGCTCGAATATCCTCTCCTTGAACACACGTCATTCAAGGGGTCAGAACCTTCTTTGACGTGCTAGTTTCATAACGATGTTTTCATTCACCGTTAGCGTGAGGTACTGGTAGTAACCATTCACAGATGTCATGTGTTAGAAATTAAAGCTGTAAGTACATGCCGCCATAGGAATTTGAACCGTTGACCTCTTAAATTAAGAAGCAACTGTTCCACATTGGCTCAAATATACTTACTAGTTGATCCGTCTATAAATTTTCTCATTTGAAATAGTTTATGCCAACTCCTTGTGTATTACGTTTATTACGACGACCCTAATATTATTTTCGCGGTATTGTAAGTTCATTAAGCTCATTATATTCTCGATAATAATATTAGAAACTAAAACCAGTTTATGTGTTCCAGACCACTTGCACATCGTCAGCCAGTACGGTGGAACTCCCACTGGTCCTAACTTCGATTGCAACTGGCGGATTCTTCACCACTATCAACATAATAATGGCTAGATTTGCTTCGAGGAGAAAAGCATCTCTTATCATGATTTATGCATTTGCTGCTATTTGTGGCATTATGACTACTCTGATTCCAAGCAATGTTGCTGGTATTTTCTATTTTGGAATGTTGGCTACAAGTCTATGTACGGGACCATTGTTTGCTTATTTTGTAGATCTTGTTCCAACGTCTTTCCGGTAAGGGTTATACTCTTGCATTTTGTTAATTATAATTTGTGATATACATTTTTTGTAAATATTTTGGTTCATATTCCTATATTCTGTATTTAAAGACATTATTTTATCTGCATTATTATATTAACAAAACCATTGGGTCAAAATATTGACCCTGTAGCACTTCTCAAAAATATTTTTTTTTGTTTGTCAGTGGCATGGCAGCGTGTCTCGGTGTGATGGTAACTCGGATCAGTAGCGTCTCTGGAATCAATCTCGTGGGACCCTTTATCACTTCGCACTGCTCAGTTACATTTTACTGTCTGAGTGCTTTAGCATTAAGTGAGTGTACTAAGTTTATTTGGCAATGGTAATAAAGGCTTAACAAATATTTTACTTTTAAATGAAGGATTGCAATTGAATTAAGCCAATATAAAACGAAATTGACGTTTAAATTTTTGGCCTGGCTTTAAAGCCCGTGATTTGTTGCAGGTGGAGTCTTGGTGTCATTGTTATTGCCAGCAGATAAGCGAAAGTCTACTACAGACAATAGAGATAGCGTGAAATAAATATCTACAAACTAATTGACAGTTGTTTGATTTGTCCATGCTGTGTTACACGTGCCATTATCTTTGGAATTGAATCTGATTAATAAGGCATGACAAGTTATGTATGGTTTGCCACTTTATTGACAATGAAACAAGTGCCATTTTGCTGATACCTCGGCGCATTCAATAAAGAGAAGCGTAATGTGTTTTCTCATTCGATTACGACACATCTTGTGTTGTACTCTACATGGAAATTAACGTAAACATTTTTTAAGAAATTTGTATATACGATGGATAATGATATAGAGATATAGAACGATTGGACGACTGTGAGGTGTGGTAAAGGAAAGTTGATCAGGAAAAATAAATGTATGTGCAGATGTTAAGAATAATGCCGGAAAAGGCAAACTTATTAAAGACAATAGAGAGCAGAAGGAGAAAGGCGTTTGGGCATCTAATATACGTCACGATAGTATTCGTAGAGGCATTGTAGGAGGAAAGATCGAAATGAAAGAGAATCACAGAAGGATCTAGACGAACTTATTTAGGCCAGATAAGGAAAAAGTTAATGTCGTATCAAATCAGGAACTTAAAGAAATGGTTGGCGATTACACAAGACAAGAGCCAAGCTCTTAAATAATACCACAAGCATTTACATTTAACGCCATCTATGTCATTTACTTTGCACTAATAAAAATTTAGTTCATTGTCATACCTAAAGCCGAGTACTCACTAGCGAGCTGTAACCATTGCATGAGTTACCAATATTCATAGTGTGTACATGGTTTGCGAGCTTGCCGCGAGCTGAACACGTCTCCGTAATCTCGGCATCTCCGCCTCCGTACCAAGTTATTTTATATAATTTGCCCATGATTTGCTTATGAAATTAACATTAAGCTAGTATAATAGCTTTTGTGTCAATTTTGAGATGCTGTTTAATCATCTATAAAAATAAAATTAACTGTTTCCTTTATGTCTGTAGCGAATCGCAGAGGTCGCTACGAATCTTTTTTAACCGACTTAAAAAAAAGGTGCAGGTTATACTATGCTGCGGCTGCACTGGCGGTGTAGTGCGTCTGACATAGTTGCCGTGAATAGAGTAGACGATTTTTTCGCCATAATACGAAAGAGATTACACTGTTATTTCTAACGTAATACAATTCAATTTATTGTCATTTGTGACGCGTCGCACCGGGCGCGACTCGCCACAGCGTCGACCGATCGTGCGTCATGGAAAGTTCCGCGGACCGATGCCGACGCGGGCGGCACAGTGGACGGCGGGCGGGAGGCGCGCCAAGAGCGACGACGAGACTATAAAAGGCCGCAAGCCGGAGCTTGCTACGGTAAGCACCTCCACCGGGTGAGGGGCTAATGCAGAGTAATTGCAGCGCGTGACCAAGGTGTGCCCAGACCGTGCGAATTGCTCGTCTTCCGTCCCCCGTAGGGACTATCCTCCTCCTTCCGTTTCCTGGGTTCGGTAGCGATTGCTGCGCGTGACCAACGTGTGTCCATGCAGTGCGAATCGCTTACCCTTCAACCTCGTAAACCTACCCTTTAGCTCAACGCCGTCACTAGATTAGTTAGGGTAGTAACCCTGCGTGGTTCATGTAATTAATTAAATAAATCCGTTTATGCGTTCAAATGTCAACTCAAAGAGCACATTCTAAATCTACAAAACACGTCTGGAACAATTTTATTTGTATAATGCGCCTCAAAATACAAAACTAAAAAGAAAAAGCAGAGAGAATCTTTGTTGAGACATTAGTTGAAATTTGTGTTATGTTTCCTATTTAATTATGTTGTTTCATGTTTAAGTTTTTATTTAACTCGCGTCCACGTTTTGTTTTTATTTTATTCATATATTTTTACTTCCTTTAATCGGCATTTTCGAAAAGGGTCCACTGAAAACCAGCGCTGTGGCCCTGCCGCAGTAATAGCTAAGTTGGGTCCTTTTCAGTGCAATAATACACTTTTAATACTAATTATTAATATTGTACTCCACGTGTATTGTGCTGAATAAATTACTTTTCTTTCTTTCTTTCTAATTCTAGTATACTTAAGAGGTGCATTTATTACTTATGGTAAATCGATCAATAAACGATCAATACTAAAACTTGGTGTTGGTTTCCTTCGTTAGTTGTAGAATCTTGGATAAATTCCGGTAGGTAACTGTAGGTAAATTGGTGCTTGTCCCGACCGCACCCCGGGAATATGTTATATTACAAATTCTTAATTATTTACTTCATTAATAATTATAATATTTGGCTAATAAAATTCAATTTAATGGGTATGTAATGTAATGTAAAATTCATTAATGGGTGTATACCTAAATAAATATTTTATTATTATTATTATACGTTCGGCTGTATGTATGTTTTCCGATATCTCTGGTAATTGTGGACCGATTTTGAATATTCTTTTTTTGTTTGAAAAGGTGCACCCTCGTGGTCCATTGTCGCCAAGTCAGAATCTCATCAGGGGATCCCATGAAAATCGAAGGAAATGCTCAAATTTTATAGGCATGTCCGTGTATTCATCAATTCCTCCATCAGTTGTGTACCGATTTTGAAAATTATTTTTTTGTTTCAAATATACTCTTGAGGTGGTCCCTGATGCTGTTCCGGGTTCGTTTCGGCTATCACAAATTACTAACTATTTTCTTCAAATACTTGTCTACTTTGCACTTGGCACAATATGTGTAATTAACAAATCATCGTCAAACCAGACAAGAAAATATAAATCCAGAAAAGAAAATACAAAATGTACAAAGGAGTACGCAACAGTCCATTGTCACCAAAAAGTTAAAATCTGATGAGGGGATTCCATGGAAATTGAAAAAAGCCGATAAGCAAATGTTTGAGGTCGGTTTTTCTTTCCATGGAAAAGTCACAATAATTATTGCACATATATTTGATAGTCTTTTTAAGTTTACTTTTATATTTGAATTCTAAATTTAAATGTGATTCTTTTTGGCGCCTTTCTTATTATTGACCATTGTTCCTGTTTTGATTGACAGCAGCGCGTTGTTTTGTAATAAAGTATAAGTACATTTGCTCTTGCTCACTCGTTGATAACAGCCCCCCCGAACCCCATTGATACAGTTCGCTACAATGCCCTTTAATGCGTACTGGATACAAAGAAAAAACGAAAGTAATCGTAATCGATAACTTCGTAATATTCATTCCGACTAAAATCGCATTTTTGAGTTACAGACAAGGTTCCACATTGCCTGAAGACCCAAGATGCTCACACAGGAGACTGTATACAGTTTGAGAGTTGCACAGAAGGCTGTGGGGCGCCATGATCGGCATAAGCCTCGTAAACCGAGTTCCGAACGTTGAGATCCGACAAAAAAAAACGAAAGTTCAGGATGCTGGAATTCGGATAATGGAACTCAAATGGGGTTGGGCGGGATACGTAGCAAGGCAAGGTGACGACAGGTGGATCAAGACGTCGACTGATTGGTGGCCGAGTATGGGCAAAAGAGTGTCGGGCTCGCAGTTGCAAGTTGGGTGGATGGCACAAACTTCGAGAGACTTTTTCCCTCTATAATATATATGTTGATTTTTTAAATTTAGTTTCCGAACGAATCTGGTGTCTTCAATCAACAGTTTTTATTAGAATAGTACAGAGGCCTAGGCAGATGGAAAATGTGAAAGGAAGCGTTTAAAATTATTCTGTACGAGGTTAAAGTTGCCATGGAAAAAACATCGTCAACACTAAAAACTTCCGAATCATTTAGCCTTTTCAATTTGTCAGTCAGCCGGGCTTTCCAATACGTATTTGTTTAGAAAGATTGTGAGTAGAGCGAGATCCACCAGCTGGACCACTTATTTGCTTCGTTAAGTAATGATTTAGGTGACGTTGGCGCTGCTAATGAAGCTAATTACGCTCACTCACGTCATGACGTCGTTTATTGCCGCAAAATCGAGAAACAAGGACAGATAGTTTCTACTTCGGCATGCAAAGAAGATTTTTAGAGTTGTTACTAATATGGACTTTTTTAACAGGCTTCTTATTAGTACTGATTATTTGGTATCAGGATTTGGAAAGTTAAAATAAATATTTAAGCGATTAGCGTTTTTAACTGTCATTCAGTCCCATGGTTGCGGCTGACCATTGGCCCTGTAAAGGGCCCGAAATGTTGGGTCTATTTCAAAAAACATATAGGTACGTTATTTAGATCCGAAAAATAGTTTCATTTCCAATTTGTACTCAACTCTCGTGTATTACTGTTAATTTTTTTTGCACAAATATAAGTTTTATTAACATAAACAAACTCAAAAGTAAAAACCACGGTGTTTCTGATTTTTGTCGCACATTAGTATGGCCTAAGAAACACCGTGCAATGTTGTGATATTTTTACACTGAACAATATTCGCAGCACCGTGAACGTGTCTCGCTGTAAATAATAGAATAAAAGTAAAGAAACAGAACAAATACAACAAGTTTTTAAAGACTTTTTTTATCTTAATTATTTATATTTGAAGATTCCAACAAAGCCCCTCTGGCTTAAACTCGAGTAGTTAATTGAATAAATATTGTAATAAAGATCATTATTGCATAAGATTTCCTTTATTTGACTAGTTACTAGGCACCTACACCGTGAATTATCACTTTTTTGCCAGTATCAGTGATATATGGAGCGAGCTCGGGGGAGCTTGTTAGTTCCTCACAAATGTGATAAACAGAATGTTATTTTTCATTCTATTTATATTATAACCATTTGTAATTAGAACTATGAAGAACGTATGTCTAAATTAAAGTAAAAATATATAGAATTGACAAGTGAAAGAATCAATACAGATAAAAGAAAAAAATAAATAAGAACCTAATAAAGACCTCAAGAAAAAGAACAACATGGAAACAATTAATTATGAATCTGATATAATAGAGAAACAAATAACAATGTCGGGGAAAGATAGTGAAGAGAAAGCCAAATGTTACAATTTCGATGAAGCTATCGACTTAGCAGGTGAGTTAAAAACACCTATTATTTATATTTTTTAAACATTCCCACGTGTGTTGTGACAACTGTATGTTCAGATTCAGTCAAATTAATTATAAGATCAATACCCGAAATAACAAGAGTAACAATCTCAGTACAGAGTACTAAAAAAACCGACCTCAAAAGTACGTGGAATTACATCTATTTGCTAAATTTAATTGAAATATCCCCTAGTTCGCCACTTTACAGAACATGACACTGGAGATAATAAAAATCGGTTCTCACTACTCAAAGTATATTGAGAGAAAAAGTCTTGAATTGAAGATATAGCAAAATCAAACATTAAAGTAATTGCTCCTAAATTAAAGTTAGGCGCTATTTATAAAAATGAATCTTCATGCGTGAACAGCCATCCTTAGAGGTGGGTGATTTTCTTCAAAATGAAATGGGACCACTATGGAAGTACCCCCTTTCCAACAAAAAAGAATCATGAAAATCGGTTCACAAATACAGGAGTTCTCGCGTAACATACATACAAAAAAAGAACATACAATCATGTAAGCCTCTCTTCATAAAGCATGGTATTCTCACTCTTACATCTATATATATCCTCGAAGCATGTAAGTTTGTAAGAAAACATAAGAGCCTATATACTTTTTTAACAACATTAAAAAGAAAAAATCGAAACTTACGTAAACTAGAAACCACTTTTACCAACCTAACACTGGTGGATACCAGTCCACATTACATGACAATTAAACTGTATAATAATTTACCGCTTACAATCAGAGACATAGCCAAAGATACTGATTTCGAAAAAACATTGAAACATATATTAATTAAAAAATGTTACTATAGTATTATTGAATACATTTCTGACAAGAATTTAGAGATCTAAAATAGAGTAGAGTATAAATTAATTTGGACTATATTATTAATGTAGGTACTTAAATTGACATTTTGTAATTGTAACCATTCACATTTATGTTGACATTTATTATTGTTTAAATTTATAGCTTATATTAGTTTAAAATTGATTGCCAGGTATTTTGACATTTGTTATTGTTTAAATTTTTCGATTACATTAGTTTAAAATTGATTATTATTTAAAATGTATAAATCCCTCTAAAATTTGCTATGCCCTCACAGGGTGTCACATGCATGATACTATCAAATTTAATAATGTGTAACAACTTGTATTGCCTGCAAATATTGTGACTTTCGCAAATAAATTGTTTGACTTTGACTTTGACATACAGTCTAATTGAGAACCTCCTCCTTTTTTAAAGTCGGTTAAAAATATTAACAATGCTATATACCTACGTATACACAATATTCATAAATATAAAAAAAGATTAAAAATTTTGGCTATTGACACGTTTTATAATGGTTGATTATCACGAAGACACAAATTTCAGAATTAAAAAATGTTGAAATAAGTTACTTATTTGATTATATCTCTTTTGGACATGGCAGAGACCGGATATTTGTAAACATAAGTTCGAGCAAATAATTAAAGGTAGTGAAAACAATGGATAATTGAACATCTGGCAAATTAGTTTGAATTAGATGTAAGAGTCACTGAAAGGCTTTGGACGTTCAAGCTTTTGCACCAATGTGTCGAAGAAGGTTTAACCTTTCAAAGATAAATAATCGTAATAATATACTAGAGAAACATACCAAAAATTGATCTCAAATCAGAGAACCCCTTATACTATGAGCACTACAGTAACGAAATTAATTTCGACTCAGTACACATAGACCGGAATCAGTCGTTTTCCAAATAGATTTGTATCAGGAGTTGACTCTGTGAACATGTAGAATTTCCAAACCACATTGCACCGGTGTGGTGGACTTAGGACCTAAACTCTCTCATTAGAGAAAATCCGTACCTAATAGTGGAAGATGTACCAGTAGATACACAATTTCTCCATGTGGAAAAACAGATAACCCACCATACATGTTTCTAATTGTCCTAGTCTTTGTAACGTGAAGGCAGTTATGCGTAATGTTATTCTATCATGTTCAGGCAATGGCTGGTACAACATCGGACTCTTAATAACCCAGAGCATCACATTATTATCGATGGGTCTCGACCTGTTCAGCTTTTCCGTGGTGGTAGCTTTCGCCAGCTGTGATTTTCAACTTAGTATGGTACAGAAGAGTATTCTCGTTTCTGTACCTTTTACAGGTAAATCTTACTTTGATGTTTTTTTGTCACTTTTGAAGTAAATGGGTGCTTAGATTTACTTCAATGATTTCATACTTTGTGGCTTTCTGATTTTATGAAATCCGTGATCCATCCACAAATAAGTCGACAAACAAGTTTTTTCTCTCAACGTTCATTCACGTACTTACTCCGTTTCATTAACAGGCAAAGATAAAATATTTACGGAAGTTCACCATGTCAGAGCTTAAAATTTTACTGTCAATATGCACAGGGCCAGTGTTAACAGCGTACGCATGGGGCTATTTCTCCGATACAAGAGGTCGCAAGAAAAGTATGACAATTGGTATGTTTGTCAGTTTTGTGATGTCAACCTTATGCGCCTTCTCTCCTAACTGGATAGTGATGGGTGTATTAAAACTTATTGGAACGTGTTTGTAAGTTGAAAGTTTAATATATTTGCATTAAGTTAAATTGTTTTACGTCAAGTGCGACTAAATAATTACTACAAAACTTATAAACGATTCGATTGACGAGTTTTCTAGTGATTCTTTGGAATGACAATGTAATGCAATTTATGTGAGTGAAAACTGAGAATGTTAATTCACTGTCTGCTATACTCATTAGCACCTGTTCGTTGTAGTTGCAGCTGTGCTCAGTCAGCATCGTACACATTGTTGGGAGAATCGTGCCCAGGTCGTATTAAGGGACCTTACTTGCTTGTTATGACCAGCATACTTCACCTGGGTTTACCCACTTACATGAGTAAGAAATAAATTATATTTTTACTTTTCCACGTCCTTGTCCACTGTCCCGTCCCGATTACAAGTCAAAATATATACGCTTAATGCTTGGCCACCCTAACCGCATCATCGTGGCCTATAAACGCCTCCGCGCAGTGCAGAATCCACTAGATAATAACCAAGTCGGTTAATTATTATACATATTCTCTATTACTAACATTGGTATCTTTACTTTTTTAGCCATAGCCTACTGCGTAGGCAATCTCGACTTCTTCTACGATTTGGGTTACATATCCTTTAAGCCTTGGAGATTACTAGTACTGATATTGGCGTTACCTTTGGGTTTGGGAGCAGTCTTATTGCATTTCTTCTTCGAGAGTCCTAAGTTTGTACTGAATGCAGGAAATGAAAAACAAGCTTTGGAGATTTTGAGAAAAATTCACAAGAGGAACGGCGGTTTAGAGGAATATTCAGTAAGAATTTAGTTAGATCTTCTTTCGTCTGTGTCATTGGCACTTAACGATTACAATGGCAAAAATTATGAATAATATAAATTTCTTTTATTAATTTCATTATGTACTTGAGTAGTAAAAGGGGTTTTAATTGATTGAAGGTGTCATTTCGACCAACGTTACGGATCACAGTGACTTATCGGAGGCAATATGCAGTTTCTTCTATGAGCCGCGGTAGATGATTACTTATGTAAAGCATTCTGATTTTAGGTACAACACCTAACTCTAAACGAAGAGGGCAACATTAAACGTAAAGAAGGGTCTCTCCTAGAATCCTTATGGCAACAAACTGCACCATTGTTCAAACCTCCACTGCTACGGAATACAGTGATCCTATATTATTTGGTTTTTATTTCTTTTAGCATGTAAGTACTGCCACATTATACTGTACCCAGTGCAAGACTATGCGTAAAATAAGCGCCTAGATGTCGAGTTGGATACCGGGTCGTTACATCATACCATACCCAGTGCAGGACATTGCTCTCTTTTAAGGAAAATATACTAGGTGCGAGAGACCTGGCGGTTTTCGAAGAGACTGGTGTATTTATTTTACTAGAGTATTATTAACAACACAATTACATTGTGAAAGTCAATATTTACAGAGCCTTAACTATGTATCATATCATTTGTTAGGTAAATTATTGTATTAATGTTTTTCTTTTTAATATTTAGTTTCTGTTTCATACTTTTAAAATATTCCCTGTTTGTTGAAATGACAGCACAATTTTTCTAATTCTTATTTGTAGAATCTATCTATCTATATCTATAATATCTTTAACAGAAGCGGAAGTTTATACGTTTGGCTACCATTCATAGCCAAGGCCTTCACTTCACCGGAATTAAATCATACGGAAGGTCTTTGTGCTATGGTAGAGCTGACATCTTCTATCAGCAGCGTGCATGTAAGTTTCCTTAATCTTAGTATATTCTGATTAATTGGTCAGCAAATTTGTTCCATCTAAAATAGATCAACTCTTCACATTCTACGATTTTTACAAATATTTGCGACGATCCTATAAGTTCACCTTAGGTTTAGCTGTTACAACTCGTGTCAACGGAATTTAACAGACAACTACAAATTACACCCAAACTCACGAGAGAAATAAATGAAGGCCATACAAATATTTCTCCAGGCCAGGGAATCGAACCTGGGACATCTGCGTGGCAGTCCGACATGGTAACCGTTCGGCCACAGAGGCAGTTTAACCATAACGATGGAGACTTTAATAACTTTCCGTATTTCAGACTACTTGCACATCGTCATCTACTGCGATAGAGCTCCCACTGGTCCTAACTGTGATAGTATCGGGCGCATTCTTCAGTTCTGTCAACGTCATCATGTCTAGATTTGCTTTAAGGAGAAAAGCATCTCTCATTATGATCTATGCATTTGCTGGCATTTGTTGCGCTTTGACCACTTCTATTCCAAATAATATTGCTGGCCTTTTCTATTTTGGAGTATTTTCAACAAGTCTTTGCATGGGACCATTGTTTGCTTATTTTGTAGATCTCGTTCCAACGTCTTTCCGGTAAGTGTGATATTAATATTGTGATAATTGTATTTATGATTTATACATGATTTGCATTTTCTTAATAAGATGTCGTCGGTCAAATTTGAAAACTTCGTAACTCCGTTTTTGGACGAAATTCCTATTTTACACTTCAAATTATCGGGCAATTAAGCTTAAAATATGATACGAGTATGTAGACCCTTTTTTTACTTATAAAAACTTGGAATAATAATAATAATAATAATAATAAACCAGATTTCTTGTAACTTCTATATTAAACTAAATAAAAGTTTTGTACAAAACCACACTGACATCACGCCATGTTCACATGCACAAGGGCGCCATCATGCGGCGGATAATTCGACTATGACACTGTTTGCTTTCATACAGCCTAGTTTTATATAGGTACATTGTTTTTCAGTACTGCCACTAAATATATGTGGGATTAGTTGTATTTTTCGTATTTTAATAGAAACTATTTGTGTTCCTACCTTTTTGTTGAGAACTATTATTAAGATTAAGAAGATCAGTGGTTGACAGAGCAACACATGGTTGTTTTTGCCTAGCCTAAGAAATGGGGCCGCCATATTTAAGATAAATAAATAACCCGTTGTTGACTTCCTAGTATCCACATCCCCAGCAAAATCTAAGTCCGAATATCCAATCAAACTCTCACAACCCTGATATTTTATACATAAATGTTTGCTTTTAATCAGGTATCTAATTAATTTCTTAACCTGAGCAACATGTTCAGCACTAGGATTGTTAATATATCTTCACAGTAGATTGACACTGAGTGAGATATCTGGCCTAGATGCAGTAGACAAGAACAATAATTAGCCTATAGCTTCCCTGTAAGGAAAAAGTGTCTGCTCATTCTCAATACTTTTAGTTATTCGAACATTTACATCAATAGGTGTATTACACGGGTGAGCAGTGTTCATATTGAATCGGCTTATTATTTGTTCTATATAGCTTTTCTGACTAATACAAATACAATCACGAGTTCTGGAAATTTCGAAGCCTGCAAATCGACTCAAATCTGATTCTTTACTCTTAAAACCTTGTTTCAAATAGCTTACAATTTTATCCACAATTGGTTTTGCTTATGATATTATTAATGCATCATCAGCATATAGAATTAACAAAGTTTGAACACTGTCAAAATTTCCTATAAAAACATAATTATCTGCTTGCGACTGAACAAAACCAAATTTCACTGAGAAATCTGTAAATTTCTGATTCCAGCAGCAAGATAACTGTTTTAGTCCATAAAGAGATTTGTTCAGTTTACAAATTTTATTTCTGTCTGCCTTAACACCTTCTGGAATTTCCACATAAATATCCTCTTCAAGTATTCCATAGAAAAAGGCGATTTTGACATCTAACTGTTTAATAATCAAATTCTTTTGTGCAGCGACACTTAATAAAATTCTTATATAATCATATCGAGTAGTAGATGAGAAGGAAGACCTCGAGCACAAAGCCGAGCTTTATATTGTTTTATTTCGCCATCTTTGTTTCTTTAATGTCAAAACCCCATTCTGAAGCTCTCTGATTTCCTCTGTCAATAATACTCCAGGTGTTATTTACATGATAAGAGCCTCCAGCTCTTCTGCAATGGCTTCTAATCATAACTTACAGTCAGGCCTGTTGGCAGCTTCTTCGTAAGTTTAAGGGATGCTTACATCCCTAATTATATCCCTAATAAATAAAAAAAATTAACAAAAAATTTGTTTCTGCGTGATCGCAATGCAATATTCATTTTGTCGAAGTCACTTAGATCAATTTCCTGTGACGGTTCATATGTCTCATCACCTTCATTATTGGCACTACATAGGCAATCTTCAGAACTTTTAATATTTTCTGTTACTACTGTATCATAAGGTTCTTCTTCATCACGTTCTTGTTTTTCTTCTTCCAAAAATATTTGGGCTACAAAAAAGGTTCACATTTACAAGGGCGCCACCAAGCGGCAGATAATTCAATTATGACACTGTTTGCTTTCACACAGCCCAGTTTTACATATATTACTTTTCAATATAAAATTAAGGTCTAAGTAATTCTGTTTTTGCGCCTATTCAAAAGTTCACTTTATTGGAGGCACGAGGTGTACAAATCTAACCGAAGAGATATTTAAAGGCACTATATTCGCGTTCACATAAACTTAGATGGACGTTGAGCTCCGTCCATACCTGTAGCACTCCTACAAAATAACCGCAAAAATGAAAGTGTGAAAAAGGACCACAGTTGTAAACAAAATGTCTTTGTTGAAATTTGTTTAAATCTTTGTCGAAATTGTTATTATTATATATTTTTTGTTCATCAGGGGTATGGCAGCGTGTCTCGGAGTGATGGTAGCTCGGATCAGTAGCGTGGCGGGAATCAATCTTGTTGGACCTTTTATAACTTCGCACTGCTCAGTTACTTTTTACTGTCTTAGCGCTTTTGCATTGAGTGAGTCTTGGCTATTAAGTTTGTTTGCCAATAATAATGAAGTTGTAACAACTTTTTTACTCGTTAATTTAAAAAATGACACTTGAATTTTGTCATTGTACAATAAAATCGTCTTTAAAATTTATACACCGTGATTTGTTGCAGGTGGAGTCTTGGTGTCATTGTTATTACCAGCAGATAAACGAAAGTCTCCTACAGATAAATAGAGACATTGTACAAATATACATATCTACAAATGAATTCACAGTTGTTTTATTTGCCCGTAATGTATTACATATCTCTTACGATGAATCTGTTTATTGGACGTAAATAATATACTTAGGTAATAATGTGTCGCCACATTATTAACAATGAAACAAGTTCTATCGTAGCCACGGTGAGGCAACAGATAGTGGTTCAAGTCCAGTCAGATCGAAGTAATTTTTCTTAATGTTTGATCAATAATAAGTTCTACTGTACCGATATCTCAATGCGATTAATAAAAAGTCGCATAATGCGTTTTCCCATTCGAATACGAGACGGCAAATGAGAATAAAATTGTA